CTAAGATTCCACTTGACATAATTCCTACATCATCTACGCTCACATCAACCGTCCTCGTATCGCATTCAATAACATCCCTCCATCTATTTTTTGGTCTTCCTCTACCTCTTCTTCCTTCAACATTCATTTCTATAACTGTTCCCTCATTTTCCGATTGTTCTCTACTCATAACATGACCAAAACATCTAAGTTTATTTTCTTTCATCTTAACCACTCTTTTGCATAACTGACCCTAAATACTTAAAACTCTCCACCTCTCCCATCACGTCTTCGCCTATTGTCACTGACCTCCTCATTTCACCTACCTCGTGTTCTCCTTTGTCAAACTCGTACTCTATAAACTCTGTTTTACTTCTAATTATTCTTAAACCCTTTTCTTCAAGAGCTGATCTCCACACCTCTAGCCTTTGATTAATTTCCGCCCTATTTTCTCCTATTAACACTTTATCGTCAGCAAACAACATGCACCACGGCACCTCTCCTTGTATTTCTCTAGTAATTTCATTCATCACTATAGAGAATAAGTAAGGGCTCAAAGCAGAACTTTGGTGCACTTCTACTCTTACACGAAAACCTTCTGATACTGCTCCTACGCTTTATATCCTGGTACAAGTACCATCATACATGTCTTCTATTATATTAATGCACCTTTTCGGGACTCATTTTCTCATTAATGCCCGCTTTAAAATCTCTCTCGGTACTCTGTCATACGCTTTCCCCAAAACTATAAATACCATAGCTTTTTCTTCTTTTCCCTAAACTTTTCTACTAGTTGCCTCACACAAAATACTGGCTCCATTGTTGACTTACCAGGCATAAATCCAAACTGGTTTTTAGATACTGATGTCTGATTTCTTATTCTCTTATCCATTACCTTTTCCCAAATTTTCATACTATAACTCATAAGCTTTATGCCTCTATAATTTCCACACTCCTATATGTCTCCTTTACCTTTAAATATTGGCACTATAATACTATTCCTCCATTCATTTGGTATTTTCCTTTCTAATAAGATTTTATTTTAAAATTCCTTCAATCACCTTATGCCAATACCGTCTAATATTTTCCATACTTATACTATTGAAATAGTTAGCCAGTAAACATATTGATGATATTTTAAAATATTTTTAAAAAGTTACTAACTTTATATAATGAACAATAATTATCATCCTTTAATATAATAAAACTTAGTTAAAAAGGATCTAAAGAAATTTTTTTTTAATTGATATTTTTATTCATAATAATTACAAATTTTATGCATAATTTAACCAATTTTTTTTAAATACATATTATAGAAAATCTGTTCCTTGTTGGAGTTAAAAAAAACCCAAAATAACACATCATTTTTTATATAAATATGAAAAAATATTGAAAGATAAAATATTTATATTATATTTAAATTACATAATTCATTTGTTAAAATTAATAAATAAATCACATGAAAATTCAGTAAATAAAACATACAATATATTTATTATAATAATAATTAATTGTAAACATTTTATAACTAACATATGCGATAATACAAAATAGAGAACATTTTATTTGTATATTTCACATTCAAAAAAATAATACATATAATTTTAATTTTCCGACGAACAAAAATGTATTATTCTATTATTAATTTAATAGAAAAATTGTTTCAATCATCTAGTTAAATACAGATATATTATAAAAAAATGGTTAGATTAATTTAATTAAATATTTATTTTTTACATAATTACATTCAAAATAAAAAACAAAGTCTCATTAAAAAAGACACATTATAATAAATGTTTTTAAGGTCAATAATTCATTTTTTTCAATAATAATATCAACAAAACAAACTTAATTAATTAAATTTAAAAATTGACATATTTTAAATTGAAGTGATGGAGTAAACTCCAATTTACAACATGAAAATTTAGTTATTATTTTTATTTGAATTAATTATTTTTGTTGGTTTAGTATATCCAAATGTATAATTAAAAATGAATGTTACATTAATTGGTAAGGTTACCAAATATGAAACTATACAATGTTTTAGCATGAAAACTTTAAACGATAATTCATCTATAAAAATACAACCTAACAGTCAACTATAGATGTAATTTTTCTTTTAATAATTTTTTAAACACTGAATAAAATGTATGTAGAATGAATGTAGTCAGATTAATTTTTTTAACAATTTTTATAATGCAATATTCAGAATTAAACTTATAATCTCTACTATAATATTTTATAATATTCAAACTTATTTGTTAAAATTAGTTATTTTGGTAAATTAGTTTTGGAAAAAACAATCCAAATTCTTTAAAAAAAAGATAAGAACTTTTGTATGCCATCTATTATAATGTTATTGATAACAAGTGAAGTATAAACTCTTGAATCTGTCATTTAAATAAGTACATTTTTGCTTCATAACTTCACCGTAGGCACTAGCGGCTTTGGATAAAATACCGATTTTTATGTTTTCTGGTAGGTGGTTTGAATCTCGTCGTAGCGGTGTTTGTAACGCGTTTTTCGGGATAGGTGTGATGGAGCGCTGATCGTTGAGAGAGCGTTACGTAACGACGGTGCGGTCAGATATCGTACCACCGACCAATGTCTAACTAGTGTCCACACTGTCACCANAGATATCGTACCACCGCCCAATGTCTAACTAGTGTCCACACTATTTCCAACATAGTTCAGGGGGGCATATTTTCTTTCCCTCCTGATTTATGTTGGTGGTAGAAGAACAATTTTGCTTTTTAAATTTGCAATTGTTTAAACAACTTTAATCTCAAATTTGTCTAAAAAATGTTTTTTTTATTAATGGTAAAATACTATTAATAATAAAGTATTAATTTAAAATTACATTTTATTTTTCTGAAGATTTAATTTTTGATTTAATAACTTTTAGAGCATTTAATCTTGTTATAAAATGTATATTGTTTATTTTAACGCATAATATAACATGATAATTATTATGCGATTTTATATTGTTATCATGTAGTTTTATATTTTAATATGTAATAAATTTTTAGTAAATTGATACATATTAAAATAATTATATACAATATACCAATACTTTTTTAAAAATCATAAGAACTGATCAAATTTAAAATGGTGAGTAACTCATGAATATGATATAGATATTTCATACAATAAACTTGAGGAATTTTTATTTTTTTGCTATCAATCTATTAGGTTAACAACACTACTATAGTATCTCTAAGTTTTTATCAGTTTTGGTAACACAATTACTGGTATATTTTTATAAATCAGTTTATAATGCTTCTAAGAACTTAATGAAAATCACACAACCGAACTAAGTGTGTGTTTTTATATATGTTACACTGAATTTTAAACAACACTAAATGTTTTGTATGAAGCCATAACCGCTTAGACTTTAGTTACAGAAAACAATTTTTATGATTAAATAATTACTTATCATTTAACACTTAAATTTAAAATGAAAATAAAAACCAATAGTTATTTTAAAAAATAACTCTCTAAAACTGATATTAATTATTAAGTAAGCACTCTTGGAAAAATTAACATTAAAATATAACTTAAATATAATTTTTCATTTATTGTAAAGAAAAGATCCAGTTAAACATGTTTTTTTATTATTAAACTTAAAATTAAAATTAAAATATTGGTAGTAATAAATTTAATAAAACTAGTTGGAATCCAAGAAATAATACTAAATATTCCATATGAACCATTAAAAAAAAAACACAATAATATGAAAGAATGTCTTTTAAAATAGAATATTTATCTAAAATTATTATGACAATTTAGTAACGAAATTAATACGAATAAGAAGAATGAACTAAACATATTTTATTTATAATTTTTTTGAGTAATAAATATTTTATTTACCAATGCTAATAATGTACAAATTACCTAAAATATGCAAGGTATAAAAAATAATCATTACAATATTAATTTTGAATGTTAAATATTGTTAAAATAAGTAAATGGATTAGCTTAATTTTTTTTTTTTTTTTAGTTTCACATATGGTTGTATTATACAACCATTAATTCTGCACAGGTTAAAAACTTAAGGTTAATTTCGGCATGAGTATAAATGTCAAAATTGAAAAATGCGCGTCACAGAAACTATTTTATAGTCTTTAATTTACCTCAAATTATCCCTTAACTGTCGGTAGATTAGTTGGTAGTTGAAAAGTACACTACAACTCCAATAGGATTAAGTTTGGAAACGTTGTTTGGGTATTGAATAATTATGTTATAATGACCACTGATAATTTTTGTGTAAACCTACAAACTACTACCTGAAATATGTATGACAGCATAACGTACTTTAAATGACACTAATTGTCGATAAAGCGACCATAACAATTGAACACGTTTCAACGGTCACAGATAAAAATGATCACCATTTATGTATGTTAGATACCAATCATAAAACTCCTACTTGAAAAAGTCCGGAAACATGATATGCATTGACCGATAATGCTATATTCTCCAAATACCCTAATAAAAGATGGCGTATAAGAGAACGGTTTTTAAAATGTCTATTTAAGTTCTTTTTACATGCTTCAATAAAAAATGTTTTTTTCTTAATATATTTGCAATTTATATCATCTTTATAAAATTAAATTCATAAAAATTATCTTAGCAAAATCTGCCTTTAAATAGGACACTTTGCTATTCTTAAAACGACGATTATTTAGAAACGGTTTAACATAAAAAGTTATTTTCACTATAATTCTTTTTAAAATTGAATTCTCTATTAAAATGATTAAGAAAAATTAGGGGTTACCATTTAAATTTCTTAAGTTAGGGTAGATTTTTACCCTTTTACATTAGAGTTGAACTTTAATTTGAATCGTAAAAGATGCATTTGATTAATCAATTAGCCCCTCAAAATAAAATTATTAAAAAAATCAATAGCGGCTCTAAAAAATCGGTATTTCCGAACTTATTGAACACACTGTATAATTTATTTATATAACTATAGAATCTAATTTAACACTGATTTACAATTAAAAAAAAAATTTGTACGAAAATAGTAATTACTTTATAAAGATATCAATTTTTTTCATAATTAAATAAGTATAACTTAAAGAAAACGTATTAGATATACATAAATACATGTAGATGTTTTAGTATTAAATATGAAAATTTAATTTCGTATAAAATATATCAATTTTTGTTTAATTTGTATCTCCGTTTTTTAAGTGTATTCTGTCGTTCATCTTTAGTGTGGAATGCAAATATTGGTCCATAATTTTCCGTTATAGGATCATCAACGTCTAGTTCACTTATAGACTGTACAATGACACAAGTAACTTTGTGATACCTATTACAAAATGGAAGCAAATATAATAAAAATTTAATCATTATGTATAAAATACTTTACATTAACTATATTTCTATAAGTACCATTTCCAATTATTTTTTAAGAATAGTTTCTATGATTTTTTATAAATTTATTAATGCAGGCGATGGTTGTCTTAATTTCCCAAATTGTTTTGCCTCTATCCAATCATTAGGTTTATTCAAATTATGCACAAGATTCAGATATTTGTATTCAAATTTAAATGCTCCTGAAATAATTCTGATGAATTGTATTCATTATTAGCAGCACACTAAAATAATATACCATGAAAAGGTACTAGAAATATTAAATATATTACTTTATTTTTATAATATAAAAACATAATCTATATTTCAAGATTAAATTATACTATCTCTCCCATTCACTTAATAGGTAAAGAAGTTATAATAATTTCTATAAATAATGATGATTGTTTTTCTAAAATTCACATTAATTAATATTCGCTCATATTTTTAGAAATTATTTGGCTTTATAGACCAAACCTTTTTATAAGAAACAATATAGTATTTACATTACAAAAATAAAGTTGTTTGCCTATAACGGAAATTTTTTATGAAAAAGTTGCCATTTTGAATCACCCGCTGTGGGCAGGTAAAGAGCCAGATTTTCAAAATATTTATATCAAATGAAAGGAAAATACCTTAAGTTTCAATATAAATATAAATTTTGATTTGTTCATTTTTCAAAAAGTGATAGTAGTTTTAAGTATCAAAATGTTAACACGATGGATTTTACATAAAAATTAAATTATTCCACGGCCATTTGCCAATAGAAGAAAAGGGGTCAGGACAATGTTTTTTTTTTTTAACTTAAAGTATTCATCGTAAGGCTTAATATCATATATATTTAAAGTTTGGAGTATTTTCGGAACATTTTCAAAAGTTAAGTTGAAAAAATTCTACTTTTTACTTGTATTTTTAAAAATTTAAATTCCCCTTGTATAATAGTAAATGGTCCGATTTATAAAAAAAAGTTAGTTAAATGAAAGGTACATATATATATATAACTAATTTATTTAGAAACAAAAATGTATTGGTCCATAATTTTTCAAAAAGTTATAGCAATTTAAGTTAAAAAATTGAAATATGATATTGAAAATTTTACTACCGAAATTGCATATTTTTGAATACGACAGTCATTTTCAACTTTAATACAAGTACAGAAAACAATTTTTTTTTTAAAAATAAAATGTATTACTTAAATTTTAATTAACGATATAAATAGAAGTGTCAGTATTCCCGGAACTTATTCAATAGTGAAGTTGAGAAAGTTAATTTTTTGTAGAAAAGATGCCATTTTGAAACCCTACCTGAGGGCAAGTAAAAAGTCATAAGTGCACAAAAATATATCAAATAATAAGTGAATTTCTAAGGCTTCAATAATAAAAAAACTCAAGTTTTAAGAAAAAAAAGTTTCAAAAATGACGAAATTTACCGATTTTAACAATCATAATTTTTTTGTGGATTCCTCCATTTACAGAGAACGAGAAAATTTGTTCAGTTTTTAAGGAAAATGTCTTCAACTAGATACGATTTTTGATCTTTTGACGTATCGTTGAAAGATATCGGCCCAGTGAGAGCTGATAAAAAGTGGCGACACATAAAAAAGAACACATCATGGTAAAATTGATACCTTTTCTACTTCTCATCGAAGCTAATAAAATTAACAATTTTTTATTAGTTTGTTTTAGTTCTATATTTTACTCAAATTATCAGCCATGAAGAATTTTTATTTTTAAAAACTCGTAAGCGTCTACCTTAATTTACGATATTTATGAGCCAGGCTGACACTGATTTTAATTCTATATTGTAGTGCTATTTTAGATATATAAAAATGTATTCTAGTTCATGCGTTGATTAACAAAATAAAAAATAATTGATAATTTTTACTTAAAATAATAAAAGTTTTATCAAAGTAATGAAAAATGCAATTTATGTCAAGTCTATTAATAAAATATACGTATAAATATGATAAATGTCTGACATAAATGTTTAGTTTTTAAAAATTATATTTTATACACAGAAATAAAGTAAGCATTTTACAAAAACAGAACACGTAAGCAAAAAATGAAGGTAAACATTTTAATTTTTTTTCTAATTTTAAGCGTGGATGCTATAAAAAAATCACACAATATTAAGATGAGACAATGTCGTCCATATCAGATTAAGGAAAACATAGAAATATTAAATAAATTCTTTGAAAACCCTGAATGGCGGAATTTTAAAGACATTAAAAAGGTTAATTATCTAAAAAAAATACATACTGTAGAAGATATTTCTGAAATCAAAATTTTATCAAAAAGATTTTATATGAATACACGTGTTGCAACTTTGTTTCTTGCATGTACATATGGTAATATTTTGATGAAAATATTCTACATCATCAATCATTTTATTCAACATTGTAAAACATCTTTTGATAATAAAAATTATAATTATGGATACTTTTGTATTGACATATTTTTAGACACTATATATAATTTAGTTCCAATGACAACGAAAATGAAAGGCGCTATGGACGCTCTTGAAAGCTTTCATGTTTGCCCATGGTATAATAATAAAACCACACATTATATTTTTAGTAAAACTTTTACATTTTTAAAAGAAATACCGGAGAATTATAAGAAGTCGTTAATTTCACAAAATAATCCGTTATCCAATAAAAATATATTAATATACTGTAATCAGTTTTTTTCAGAGAGAAATAAAGAAGTCGAATTAGACAGAAAGATATTTTGTAATGTAATAGAAGAAAATTTGAAAACAACATTGGATAATTTATTCGAAAAATATAACAATCTACTGAAAAATAAACAAGTAATATATTTGTATGATTTCCTGCATAATGAAATAAATGAAATTATTAAAACTTCTATTGAAGAAAAGTATAATAAATTAGGATTCGTTTACGATCAGGATACTAATCAGACGTTACTACCAAATCCGAAAAAAGTGAAGTTGACACCACATGAACGTTTTCCAGACCGTAAAGTAGAAACCCTACCGCAATAACAACTATACTCGATTTCTATTAAAAGTTCATATTATCTCTTAAATATTTCTTTTATTTTGTATTATTTATATTTTTCGATATAAAATAATATGTAAATGTACCAAACGATATGTAAATAATATAAGAATCACTTTGCTTACTAATATAGTACTAGCTATTTAAGATCAGTAAAATATATATGACATTATTCAAATAGATATATGATACACCGTATACCGGCCTTAGATTTTATTAGAGTAAAGTTATTTTCTAAAATTGATTAAAATTATAATCAAATTTTATGATACAATCAGTTAAATAGATGTATTAACTTTTTGATTGGTTTTTTAGTGAAAGTAAATCTAAAATTAATCAAGTTCTTAATATTTCAATTGTAGAATCATTTTAAACACAAAAGTTACTTAAAAATGATTACTATGATATCTATTTAAGTAATCTATTACGATAAAAAGGCATAAAAAATTGATCTTTCCTGATAGATTTATTGTAAAGAGTAATTATAATATTTCCTACTGCATAGTAATCTTAACAATATCATTATTTTAATTCTCATATAATTTTCTATTTAACGATGTCAATTTCAAACTTGTGAGTTAAGCTAAAAGTTATGGTAACACGTTCAACTTTTTTTTTTACTATGAACTTTCACAATTGAAATTGAAATTCACTATGAATTTCAGATTTAAAAACAGCCCGAAAAGTTGAAAAAGAATAGTAAATTTTACATCTGTAGAAAGTTTCTTGTAATATAATGTATTTATTCATTATTAACAATCAGTTTTTACTGAAAAGTATTACAACAAGTCCTTTAAATTTGTAAACACGTTAAAAGCAAAGAAATATATAACTATTTTATAATTTTTTATTATTTCTCCATGAAAATTGCAATTTTAAATTCTTAAATATATATTTCATATTAAATTTAATTATTATAATTAGTATTTACTCAAATATTATACTTTTAAATCAAAGATCTACTAACCAGGATATAATTAAGGAAATTGAAGTTGATATTGATTTGTAATTATGTACCAATTTTTTAGGATTAAATAGTATCTACAGATATGCATCAAAACGTTTTTTATGATAGTGATTTTAATAAGTGTGAGATATCGATACTTGTATCGATACAACTATGTCACTTCCACACTAAGCTGAAATCTCACTACGCTATAGTTTTTTTGTGATTATCTTTTATTACGTACTGTTGAAGTTTTATGTAAAATTTATACTTTTTATTTGAATTTATATCTATTTAGAAACACAAGTTTTGTTTTTTTTTTGTAATATTTCTAGTAATTTTGTTTGTATGGTTTTTATACATATGTGTAGCATGCATTAGCAAAATATAATTTTATAATATAATAATTTTATATAATAATGCATTTTCTTTTTGATTGTAAAGAAAAAATATTTGTATTTGGAGTTTATATTTGATTTATGGCAGCTTATGAAGTTTTTAAGTATCTGAATTTCGCACTATTAAAATAACCACATTTTATTCTGGATTTTTATATAGTTTTTTACTTACTAATATCAAATATTGAAACTTAAAAATTCAACAAAATTTCACAAATATAATGTTCAAAGAACTGAAATTGTGCTAGCATCTATCCTAAATCACTCTATGGATAGCTAAAAAAACGTAGGCTGTTTGGAATAGCTTTATGCACAGGGCAGTTATGTGATTTAGAATCTCGTTGTTGATTTTACAAATTATTAAACTACAAATTTGTTAGTATAAAATATTACACACAAGGTCAATGAGAATACCAAATAAATATACAAAAAGGGTTCACATAAAATACCAAAAAAATATTAAATTCGATTTAAACCTTATTAAAAGATTTAATGTTATTTATACTAGAGAAATAGATACCTGCGAATTAATTTATGTAATAAAAATCATGTAGTTTCAAGTGCGTACACGGACGCATATGCATGCATATCGCTAACAGTGAAATCAACTGCATGATCATCGCAACCAAATATTTATTAGATAATTAGAAGTAAGTGAAAACATTTATTTAAATAATAAATCTATAATAATACCTTCACCGAAAAATTTTTAGTAATAAACAATTAAAGTGAAGTAGGTGTCAGAAAAAAACTGACTAAAATAATTACACAAAAAAAAATAAGATATGTGAATATTAAATAGTGTGTATATTTTGTGCAGGAATTAAATGGTAACCTTTTATTGTCCTTTTATCTTATATTCATATATATCAAACGTGCTTCTGTAGACATACATCCCCAAGTTCTTATCACNCCTAAATCACTCTATGGATAGCTGAAAAAACGTAGGCTGTTTGGAATAGCTTTATGCACAGGGCAGTTATGTGATTTAGAATCTCGTTGTTGATTTTACAAATTATTAAACTACAAATTTGTTAGTATAAAATATTACACACAAGGTCAATGAGAATACCAAATAAATATACAAAAAGGGTTCACATAAAATACCAAAAAAATATTAAATTCGATTTAAACCTTATTAAAAGATTTAATGTTATTTATACTAGAGAAATAGATACCTGCGAATTAATTTATGTAATAAAAATCATGTAGTTTCAAGTGCGTACACGGACGCATATGCATGCATATCGCTAACAGTGAAATCAACTGCATGATCATCGCAACCAAATATTTATTAGATAATTAGAAGTAAGTGAAAACATTTATTTAAATAATAAATCTATAATAATACCTTCACCGAAAAATTTTTAGTAATAAACAATTAAAGTGAAGTAGGTGTCAGAAAAAAACTGACTAAAATAATTACACAAAAAAAAATAAGATATGTGAATATTAAATAGTGTGTATATTTTGTGCAGGAATTAAATGGTAACCTTTTATTGTCCTTTTATCTTATATTCATATATATCAAACGTGCTTCTGTAGACATACATCCCCAAGTTCTTATCACTTCCACTTTATCGTATTTTGGTACTGTAATATTTAAAATGTCAATAGTAATATTACTTATAAAATGTTACTAATAGTTGAAGATTCTGAAGTTGTATACTGAAAAAAATATGAGATTTGTATTTAACCAACTCGTTTTATTAATTGTAACAGCTACCGAAGAACTCTAATATGTATCAATGTGTATGCTTAATGTAAATTTTGATTTTCTGATACTACAAATGAGATTTTGTAAAACGTTTTTTTGTTAGGCATATTTACTACGTTGTTGAAAATACTTATCATTTAGTTACTATAACAATGTAATAAAAATTTTAGTACAGTTAACTAAAATAATGTAAATACAATGATTATTGTTAGATTATATACGTGTAATTGTTTTATTGAAACTACAGAATAAATAACTGTTGGTTTTATTAAATAACTTATTACACTTAATTGAAACACATCGTCAATTCTATTAATACATTTGGTTAGTAATACAAACTATTAGCGCTGTCTGTAACGTATTTTGTAAAGATAATACTTTATAGTTGCAGTGGAATAATATTCATTACATCAACCCTTATAGTAGTAATTGTTGTAATATTATAGTATTACTTATAATGTTAACATATAATATGATGTTATCATTTGTACATGTATGTCACATATTAAGATTATACAAGATCACCAAAACAGGGTTCTCTTATTTAAAATACAAAATAATCAGTTAATTATGGGATAAAATCTACTTATTGTAGAGATTATTAAGTAACGCCTACACGCAGAGTCCTCATTATAATTAACCAATTAGAACAGAAAGCCTCAGCTTCCAAAATCATGGCAGCAATCGCTGGGCTACCCCCTTCGGACTATAAAAATCCATTTCCCCCCCTCTAAACCAGTTTTTTAGGTGGTTGTAAAATACACAAAATCTACCACCCTCTACTCAAGATTTCACTCTCCGACATTTAGCCGTTTTTTTAATTAATTTAGACTTGGAATATTTTTCTTTAAAACTAAATGATACTTAAAAATTTTAAACTGGACTTTGTCTTGGTGAATTTTTTAATTTAATTTAATTTGTTCATTAGATAATGTTTATTTTTCTTATTGCAGAAATAAATATCAAATAATATTTTAAACATTAAATCTTTTTTTTAATTATTTTATTTTAATAATAAATCCAGCCCAACTATAAATTTTTATTGAATAGTAAAAATCTATTGCGAGCATTTCTTATTGGGTAGCTGGTCTCTGAGCTTAATGTCTTTGTTCTAACAAACATCGTGCCGGCGGACAGAGTAAAGGTTGCAACTAGATATTATTCTAGAATTAGGTATATTAGGTTAAAATATAATTGTAAGCCTATGTGTATTGGGCAGCTAGTCTTTAAGCTTAATGTCTTTGTTTTAACGAACATCGTGCCGGCGGGCAGCGCAAAGAAACTTATGATTAAATTTTTATTGTTTATTTTTTGTTAGGGTGATTAATGTGCCAAATCTTTTCAAGGCGCTAGCGCTGAGACACATTTACGCCTTGATAAATTTTTTACATAGATATAAATATGTTTGAATCTTGTTTGGCCAGGCCAGAGGAAGATTTAAGAAATTTTGGTGTAGATTTCTCAATAAAATATACTCTCTCAAAAAAATACTTATTCAACAAACGTAAAAAATTAATAAGGACAAATTATAAATTCTATTACTAATAAAATATAGCGTGTAGAATCTATTACAAGTAAAATCAGTCATAGATTTTGTGTAATTAAATTGTATTATTTAAAATTTGAATAATTTTCGTAAGTATTATATTGACTATATGACGTGTAGTGTAAATCATATACGTAGTGCATTTAATATTAAAATCAACATTGAATTACTTGAAATATTATTTCATTACATAGGACGTAAGGTATGTACAATTTAACCTATGCTTTCAAACTTCCAACAATTTATTGCGTAATAAACTATTAAATAATTTATAATTATTATATGATTATAATTATGTTTTTGCATGTACTACTTTTAAATTAAAATTTACATTTAGCAAGCAAAATTAGAATTTTATAGACAGGATGAAAATCAAAGCTTCCACTCGGTTAATAAACAAGCTACTCATCTTCTTTTTGTTGTTTATTATAAATAGACGATATAATTAATCGTCCATGTATATGTATAATTAGTGATCACACGGTACATAATAATGTTTCTGTCCATCAATCACCTTATACAAGTCATCAAGTTAACAGCTCCGTTTGTAAAAAAAATTAATTATTTTAGTGAAGGTTGTGACGTTTACCGGCTTCTGGCCGTAAGGCTTACACCAACGAAGGCACATAAACCCAACAAAGTTGGGTCCACCACTAGTCGAGGTTCTACCCGACAGGAGTATAGTAGAATTTTAAATGTAAAGAACACACCTGTTGTTCTAAGATTATACTATTGTTCAATTTACTAAGTTTTTACCTTAACTCTAGGGGATAAGGAATTGAAAAACTGGTAGACTAGCAGTATGGGCGGTGATGTTCAATTTTATACAGTTAAATTAACTAATTACAAATTTAAATTTACATAAAATAATCATGCCCAAAGTACAATAAAATAATGTCATTCACAAATTATAAATGTTCGTAATAAAATAAAGATTACAGATTCTGTTATATAACATATTTCAAGTCATGGTTAAAATTTATTACAAATTATTAACTAATATAAGGGACAACAAAAGAAAACAAGTATGAGTAAAAAAGAAATAACCTCTGACACTACTGCATTTACTATGTACGATTGGACCAAGGGCTAAGAGGGCATTTAGTAATATTTAATAGAATAAAATGATTATCACTGCAATAATGCCCAAACTAACAATTTGACGTGGGTCAATATGAATGTAGGCTTTTTATACCGACACGACAAAAATAATTAACGTACGAAAGAAAATGATATTTTACAATAAACGATTTACAGATACTCAATGAGCAAAATGTGTCAGAAAGTTAGGATAGAATAGAATAATCATTTAAAAACAATTAAAGTTCATGTTCAAAGAAACCTCGTGACATTGTACGGATATAGGAAAAAACGAATGGACGAAATAAAGAGAGATGGGAATGTTGTACAAAGTTACCAAAATTATAATACCAAGATGTCCAGGCCGTAGCCAACAAACGAGTCTTCATTCATTTGAGTGAAGACTCGTTTGTCTTTGTCCAGATGGCCAGGGCCAAAAGTAGAAGTTAAGCAGCCAATAAAATGTAAGTGTACTTAGCGACAAAAATAACAATGGCTGGAGAAAATGATTTCACGACCGGGACAAAAACACATTTGAACAAANACAATGGCTGGAGAAAATGATTTCACGACCGGGACAAAAACACATTTGAACAAACCGACCGACCACTAGACGGCGGCGTCACACATGAACGGAAGGGGAAACAACGCCGACATCAGTGCATGCTAGTGATGGTAAACTGCTATTTTTTTTTTAACATCTGCTAATGCTATTGCTATTTTAAAATAGCAGTAAAAAGTAGCAGCTATTGCTATTTCGTAAAAAAAAAGCTCGTAGCATAATGCTTATCATTAATTTTTAACACGCTTATATTAGTTTCACCTGTATGTATATATTTATGTATGTTTGTAACTCTCCAAGCGCCACGCGTTATCGCATATTCCGTCGTCTATGCCATAGACTCTATGGCTTTGAGACTAGACTGTCATAACGCATTCTATTCACCCCACGCCGCGCTCAACACACGACGACAACACTATTCCTATATAAATTTATTTTTAGCTATCGTACCAGTACACGCGTGGCATACGGCTTACGTATATATTCCTACCGCCGTTTATACCTCAGCAGGTATAACGTTAGTCCGACCCGCCCGCCAACATACATGATGATATGATCATGCATGATACATTTACGTACTTAAGTCGCTTTACTTGTATATATATATNTTATATCTAATAAACGAATAAAGTTATATTAAAAATTCAAATGCCATTTACTATTAAATTAAAAACTCAAACATTTTATTAAATTAAAAATATGTGTTACTATTAAAAAAAACAAAGTTTACCCCCCTCCAAGGCATAAGAGATGAACTTAAAAAGTATTACATAGTTAAAAATTCAAGAATAATGTGTAACTAAAGATAATAAAAAAAAAAATGTTTAAATTATTATTATTCTGCAAGTAATTGAGTGGGTTATGATAAAAAAATCACTCTGTATAATATTTAAAAAATAATAAAAGTTCACACCTGAAATTTACACTACATAAGCGGAATTTCGATTTGATAAATTTAAAATAAGTAAGTTTAATTTTGTATAAATAAAAATTTAGATAACCCAATGGCAACAATCAATATAAATTCATATAATATTTAAAAATATTACAAACATTTTTATGTTTAAGGTATAAATATCTAGTAAAAATAAAAATTTAAGAATTTTTGAAAATAAAATTAACATAAAGCTATTTGCTTTGCCATCGCTACTCATAATCATTTTACTACAATTAAATAAATATACGAAAATATAAGTATAATAAGATGTGTATTTTAAAAAAAAGTTTAGTTTTTATATAATCTTACTTATCAAAATAATATGAAGAAATAATTTGCTACATATATATCTATAAATAAATAATTTTACAGTAGACCTCTAGTAAAATTTTATTTTACAAAATATATGTATTAAAAATGTTTTATTATATAATTTTAATACATATGATTTATAACCTTGACATCAAATATCCTTAAAAGTGATTTTAAATTAACCAACAAAAATTTATTAAACAATTCATTTATAAAATGAATATTTTGTAAAAAAAATACTTTAAATTAGTTTTACTGCAAGTTTCCGAACAAAAGAAATTGAAATTTTGAATAATTTTATTACAGCTAAATATTAAAATNACAAAAGAAATTGAAATTTTGAATAATTTTATTACAGCTAAATATTAAAATATGTTTCATGGGATTATTTCTACCTATTTCAATGAATATTTACGTTTCAATTTTAATACTACTGAACGTATCAATATATTTTTTTCAAAATATAACTCTCCATATTTATAAGATCCACAATTTTTTGTTCCGTCTAATATACGGATTTTTACACTTTGTGGACACAACACTTCAGATTTATCAAAGTACCGCTTTTTCCCACTGACACACAAACAAATGCCTTCCGCTACAATGATAAAAGATTTTGACTGCATTTTTAAGGGTTTCTTTTTTGTAATACACTTCTTTTGTGGCTCAAAATTATCTAAAGACTCTATTTTAAGTCTATCGTATTCAATTAGACTTGGCAGCTCTCTTGGTAATGTAATCATCACTCTTTTTACCGTAGTGTCTAATTCCATTTCGTTGTTTAATATAACCATATTGTGTGCTTGTTTCAATGTCTCCATATTATCTAACGATTCACTTACACGACATTCATACTTTGCAATGAGGAATTGATAGAGTTTATATAAAACGACTAGAAATATGCAAAATTAATAACAAAATAGAAGGCAGAGCTGAATTAAACCTATCAAAAAATCCTTCCAGTTTTTGATCATCTTTTCGTAAAATTCGCAATTTTATTTAGTAATCGTAGAACTGACTATTTAATTTGAATAACATAAATTAACACGACTAATTATCGGTTTAAAGCTATGGAAACCAATTTTATTGTATTGTTAAAATATATATTTACTGTATTATATTAATATTAATATATTATATATATTGATATGTTTAATCATAAAAAATAGCAATTTTTTTACAAAACTCAACTTTTGAAAATGTTCCTGAAATACTGCGTCTTTTAAACATATGAAAATTAAATCTTATTTTACGTACTGTAATTTAAAACAGTAAAATTTGTTCCGACGAATTATCTTCTACATGCAAATGGCTGCCGATGTTGAAAACATGTTATTTATGTGTTAAAATTATCCATTTTCGATTAAATACTTCCAACTTTAAATGCTATAACTTTTCGAAAAATGTATAGAACAACACAAATTTTTGTTTCTAAATACATTATATTATACATTATATATACCCCTTTTATCCAAATTAATTTTTTTTTAAATCTAGAAATTTCCCCTTATACAGGGGGCGTTCAAACTTCAATCATACATGTAAAAAGTATACTTAACTTTTGAAAATGTTTCGGAAATACTGTGTCCTTTAAATATATGTCAAATTAAAGCTTACATTATGCACTATAAGTTAAAAAAAAAATTTGTCCTGTCGACCTATCTTCAATGTGGAAATGGCTCCTAAAATTGAACAAAAAATATAATATTTGTGTTATAAATCAATGTTATTTTGGTACGTAAAACTGCCATAACTTTTTGATAAGAAGTATGTACAATGTTCGAACGTCATTCATCAAACTAATTTTTATTTGCATTTTTTCATAATTCTTTTTTGAGGTGAAAAAAAAAGTTCAAAGCTCGTTTGATTTTTATCTTATTTAAATTGAACGACTTCAATAAATATCATAGATCCTATCACTGTAGTCTCCCCTCTTGAAGAAAAATTTTTTATTCATATCAAAATATTTTAGTATGTAGTTTTTTTTTTTTAGTAACCCATTTGTACGTATTAGCCATTCTTTTAATCTTGTTGAACTTATAATCACCAAATATGGAAAAAATTCCTATAATTTTATAAATTCAATAAAAATATCCACTTCAAAAAAAAACTGTTTTTAATTAAATATCCCCAAATTAATAAGAGCATAAAATTTTTATACTGATTACACAGAAATATCATTTTAATAAAATAAAATATTTTTTAATGATTATAGACCAATATATACTTTACTTAACCAAAATTTTTACGCTGATTTCAAATCATAAATTAGATTTTTTCGCCCCTGTTTTTAGATTACTGCTAATTAGAAACTCATGAAAAAATTAATTAAAAAAAAATTTTTTTTCAAGTTATTATTGATTTTTAATATGTTAAAAATAATCCGTTCAATATTTTAATTCAAAATAATCTTTATATCTAATTTTTTTGATTCTTTGAATTTTATTTTTATGAAAGTATATAATTTGAACATTTTGAACTTTTAAACACTATTTTAGCTCAACTTGCAAGTTTAGAATTTATATAATTAAATAGAAAATTTTATGAGAAATAAAAAATTAATTTTTTAGATTGACATGTGATCAGGAACTTATATAATTACTATTAACAGTAAATTTATAAGGAAAACTCGAAATTTCGTTAAAATCACATTTTCTTTGTATTTTATTGTAATAAATCATTCATATAGAAGTCAAAGTAATTAATAGTCTTAGTAATTATTGGTATACAAATAGATGCTACAATTGAAATATTAAGAGCTATATTTCGTATATGTATATCCTATCGTATCCTAGTTTAAACTATTATTTCGTTCGCTGTTGTGTTTTTGAATTTCATTTTAACCTATATTTGTTTTATATGTTAATACTCGTTTTTAACTAATTATTAATATTATCAAAAATTATTGGTGATGGAAAAAATCTAATTACAGATTTGAAATTAGCACGAAAAATTGAATAATAAAAGTATATTTTTTACTCAAATGAAAATTTTTTGCAGACTATTTATTTATAATTAACAACAAATTATTATCTAAAAAGTTTTGTGCCAAGCTCTACAATTTTTATACACGTTTTCTATTAAAGTAATAACTTCTTTATAATTTTTTATACATTTTCCGAAAAAATTACATCACTATATTATTAAATATCAATTTCATCTTCTTCTTCCTCTCCTTAATCCCAACTACTTGAGATAAATAATAAATTATACTTATAAATCATCTTCTAATTAGAAATAATGATAGAAATAAGAGTTAATTTTGCTTTTAGAATAATCAACTAATTTCTTAAAATTAAAGACTATCTACAGATTTGCATCGAAGCGTTTCTTATAATAGTGACTTTAATCACTGTCAGATATCATCTATAGTTGTCTTATCTATGCCAAAAAATATTATCAGGTAAGATTTAAAAATCAATAAGAGTCTATATATATATATGTTATTTTATGATCCTCGAATCCCAACCCGAATTAAAAAAACTCTTAATTTTATCATCATCACTCTTCTAGCTTCAATGCGAAGCTGAGAAGGTATTAATTTAACTATGATGTGTGTTTTTTTACCTTTGATACGAAGCTGAAAAGGTATTAATTTTACTAGGGTGTTTTTTTTTTTTGCTGTTACCACTTTTTTCAGCTTTCACCGACCCGATTTCTTTTAACGATACGTCAAAAGATTACAAATTGTTTCTATACAATGAAATTACTCTCAAAAATTGAAAAAATTTTCCTCGCTCCCCGTAAATGGAGGAAATCTCAAAAAAAATTACAAATTTAAAATCGTTAATTTTCGAAATTTTTTATTTTTTTTTTACTTAAAACTACCATAACTTTATCAAAAATAAGCAATCAATATAATTTTTTTTATAGATACAAAATATATATACCTTAAATTAATGATAATATAATATACTTTATTATGGAAAAAAAAATTTCGGAATTTAATTTGTCTTCACGGTGAAAACGACTACCGTATGCTATTTTTGTGTTAAAATTCTTGATTTAATATTTTACATTTTTAACTTTATAATACTATAACTTTTTAAAAAATGTACAATTACAAATACAATTTTTTTATAATAAATACTATTTATGTATAACTTTCATTTGACATAATTTTTTTTAAATCGGACCATTTTCCATTATGCTGGGGGGGGGTTAAAAACTTAAAAGTGCATATAGAAAGTAGAACATTTTCTACTTAATTTTCGAAAGTGTTTCATAAATACTGACACTTTTATATTTATTATTTGATTCATATAGCTTCCACTTTTTACTTCGAATTTTTAAATGATACTGCTAAGTTATTTATTTTCAAAAATTTATTAAACTTAATAAAATGTATAAATTAAGTAACGCAAAGGTCAAACTGTGTGGTAAGTGCAATAATATAGCTAATTTAACATAAAACACGTCGTTATTTCAATTGTTTATTTATTTCACAACAATAGTTTATATATAAAAAAACAAATGTTAGTATAAAATGTATAAATTATCTAATTAGTATTGTCTTATAATTCTTTTAATAAGTCACATAATTGAATAAAAATATCTAACAGTTCATATAATACAATACAAAAAATTAACAATATTATTAGGATGTGATAAAAAAAGTTTCAAATACAGCTCATAAATTGTTGGAACTACTTATATAGCCTTTAATTCTAAAATACAATAGGCATCTTTATTTTGATGTCGTTTCAATGTGTTCTGACTAGATACTAAATATCATAACGTGTAAATAAAATTTACATTATGCATGATTATTACTAATATAAAAATTAATTTGATAAGGATTCATACTATAATAATAAATTATAAAAACTATATTTACTTAAATATTTATAGTACAGTTAATGATATTTTAGATTTTAAATGAAAAATTATGACAGTAAATCTACTGAAATTTATTGGTAACGGATGATCAAAAGTAATCTATTTTTTTTTTGTGTCGGTAATATTATTTTTATTGTTTGATAATGAGACTAATAATTAAGCCTTTTTTGTTATAGAATCAAATTTTAAATAAGAGACCGAATGATTTTTGATTTAATTTCTAAAATGTTTTTTTAATAAAAATTATTATATACCTAATCATAATTTGTATAATAAATATTATGAAACATTTCTTATGAATATTAAAAAGTCTTAAATATTTTTGATAATTTGTCAATAGATTTATTTATTACTTTTATAAACTCTATTCATTATTTGAAGGTTTTTTTGACTAGAGGTTTTGGTTTAACACCATCGACTAAATCTTTTGCTGTACTTGATGCTGTAGGTCTCATGAATCCTAATGTTTTAGAACTGGCCGTGGTTGAAAAATTTGTACCTCTACTTTGATTTTCTTTAAAGCTATTACTTTGAAAAGTTTTAGGCTTTGGTTTATTAACAGCGATTGCAATACTACCACTATTGCTTCTGCTTGCAATAGGGTTCCGACTATTATTACTATTATAAGGTTGTAAAGCACTTAGTGGTTTTTTAGCCTTTAAATCTGTAGTTAAATCATTAATTGCTTTGGTGTACGTTGATATTCCTGGAATTTTTTTCACTGTACTGGCAGAATTAATACTATTTAAAGAACTTCTAGAACTACGTAAGCTACTCTTAGAACTTGACCTTTCAACAGATTTGGGTTCACTTTCTGTTCTAGTTAAACCAGGTCTACTAGATATTGAAGATGATTTTACCAAAGGTCTAGCTAACGAAGAAGACGGTGTTCTTTTCATAACTAACGGTCGTTGCATTACCATAGGTGTTCTAAAACTACTTGTTCGTTTTGGAGTTTCTGAAGTTTTTATCGCAACTATAGGTTTGGTTGATGTTCTCAAAGAATTCGTTTTTCTTAAATTTGGTGTAGCAGGTAGTCCACTACTACTATTAGTATCATTACTCTCGCTGCTATCTGCTCTAGTGATAGTTTTTGGAGGTATCGATTTTTCAGATTCAAAATTACCAGATGAAGCTTCCGCACTTAATGATTCAGCTGACATTAAACTAACTGATTCTTCAAAACTATGCAAAAAAAAAAAATAAAACATAATTATGTTAATATAAAACATGTTAATATAATAATTAGTATACATACCCTTCATCATTTAGATCATGTTCTGTTCTTATTGCAGTTTTTATGGGAGGAGTTAATGCTTGTACGCGAATCTCTGGAATGAATTCGCTATTTTTCATATCAATTCTAGACTCTCCATTATCCAATATATTTATCTTTGTTACCCTTCCTGATATTCGTGGTAGTTCTACAATATTTTTGTCCGTTGACTGTTGACCGTATATTTTAACAGCTTTCATGATATCACCGTGATCTACAACGCTATGATTTCTTGCAGTTCTAGGCATAGATGAATACATTCTAGTCCGAGAAAATTCTTTGGCATCATCAATGTTATTACTAGCTTTATATGCTAACTTATCTTTCCACGGGGTCTGCCGAACATTATTATCGCTTTCATTAAGAGGTCTAGGAGATTCAAATTCATCAAATTTACGACTTAATGAATCATCTTCAGCTGACTTTCTGTATCTACGAGTACGTCTTGCAGCAGAAAATCTATCAAATTGTCCATCACCAAGTGTTTCCTCTTCGCCTGGTTTAGAAATTGGAGGAATATTTTGTAGTTTAGCAATTTGTCGACGAGAGGTAGGTGGTGTTTCAATATTATCCGAATCTATATCAGCTCTATCAGATATTTCTACAGTTCCAACAGAGTCTGATATTTTACGACGAGGAGAAAAAGGTGGCAATAACTTATCCTCTAAAGAATCTGGGCTATGTAATGGTTTTCTTTGATTTCCTTTTAAATCTGTTTGATCTGATCCACGAATATAAACTGTTAATCGTTCTGGGCTATTCATATTTTGTCCTAACTGTTCAATGAAACCTTTTCGTTTATCTTCTTCTTTAATAGCCTATAAAGAAAAAAATGTTATATAAGCTATAAATGTTAACTAAAATTTATTTCAAACGTACATGTAAGGGCTTGCTATGATTTTCAAAATTAGATAAAGTGACCGGATTTTTGTTTCTTTTAGAATTTAAATGATCAATTTCTTCTGAGGTGTTGGGTACATTTAGATTAGATTTTCGCCATTGTGATTTATCTTTCATCGGCAATTGAGCTCCTAATTAAAATAAAACATATTGAAATTTTATTTTATTTTACAAATAATATTGAATGATTATTATTCATTTATTAAAATTTCATTAAAAATCATTGAAGTTTTTTTTATAATGAACATTAGTATTACCAGCAATCGCTTCCATAACGCCTACAACGTCTGTTTTTTCAATAGTTGGACGCCAATCTGAGTATACTCGCTTATATCCATCATTCTTTGAATTCGCTAATTTACCTTCAGGTAATGTATCTAATATACTACTACGACCATCACTTTCTGAATCATTTTCTAATGATCTTCTGTTACTTTGCACACGCTGAGCTTTTCGTCGTAATTCATCAGAATCTTTTTCTTCCTTCTCATTTTCATGTAGCCAAGCTTCGATTTTTTGCCTCCATGCTCTATTTAAACAATAATTTAATATATTATTAAAAAATTACCAAGGTTAAAAATAATTAAATAAAATGCTGAAATTAAATACTTTGGTTTCGTTTCTTCTTCAGGAGTTGAAGCTGTAGTAGATGTAATTGATTTAGTTTCTACTAATGGTGATGGCGAATTTGCACGTTCTCTATCAGCACCGAAATCAGCACTTAATAAGTCTGGTCTTTTTTTACCACTTCCTCGAATTCTTCGTGCCCAAGATCGATCTATGTATGTTATAAAATAATATTAATTTTTTTTTTTATCAGACTTAATCTTCAATTTAAATAAGAAAAATGTATATAACTTATTTATTTACTTATTGTTACCATTTTAAGACTTGTTTAATTTATATAGTTTTTTTTTATATAAATAAGATAAATATAATTAAAGTAAAATACAATTTGAACCAAGTATNATCAATTTAAATAAGAAAAATGTATATAACTTATTTATTTACTTATTGTTACCATTTTAAGACTTGCTTAATTTATATAGTTTTTTTTTATATAAATAAGATAAATATAAATAAAGTAAAATACAATTTGAACCAAGTATAAGTATATATTACCATCAATTTCAATTATAGTGACTAAATGATATATTATATTATTTAAAAATTATTTTACCTAAGCTCCCCCAAGATTTTCTGTGTGTATTAGATATAGGAGGGGTATCTTGATTTGATGTTCTTAAGAAATCCATTAACGTAACTTCGTCATCTTCTGATGGTACACGACTTCTTCTACGGCGTAAACTTCCATTAGGAGTTACATCTTTAATCATAAAAAAAAAAGAGAAATTAAAAGATGAATTATAACAATAATTTGTAATTCTCATTTTTTATACAAATTAATAATAAAAAAAAATTGTATTGAATTTTACCAGGTGATAAATTTTGATCTTCTTTGTTACTGTTATCAATGGTTCCTAATCTTCTTCTAACAACTGCCGGTGAACCTGTCATCGATACATTATCCTCTTCTGTATTTGGATTGTGTGGCCTTTTACCCTAAAATCAATTGCGTTAAAAACTTTAAAAAAGTATATTTAATTAATACTAACTTTGTCAAAACTTTTTTTATGTGTAAATCCAGATCGAATATCATATAAAATTGAATCAACAATGTTACTTTCAGTTTCCGATCCATTAATTTGTTGGTCATTTGTTACTAAAAAAAAAAAATAGAAATCAAAAAATATTTTACGAAAAATTTGTTTTTTTAATTTACAGAATCGTTTTTTAACAGATAATTGCTCTTCTCTTTGGCGGCGTCTAGCCAAAGCTTGTTCTTCTTGTGCTTTTCTTCGTTCATTTTCTGCTACAGCTAATTTGAATTTCAGACAGAAACTATGAACTATCCTAAAACATTCTTCAAGTTTAAACGCATTTACATCTTCACAAAAGAAATCTGCCAACGTTTTTCTCATTGATTCTAATTCAGCGATGTCGTTTTGCAAACTTCCAACTTGATTTTCGGCTATCTGTATTAAAGACACATTAGTCAAACTTACACTTAAAGTGTAATTTTTATTTTTTTCTTTAATCGGACTATCAAACAAAAGGTTAATTTAACGCCAACCAACTTCAGTTAATATAATATATACGAAAATAAAGTTTATATTAACCTTAAGAAAATCAATCATCTGATTTTTAATATCTTGCTCTGTGTTAGGAAGTTCAATTTGTTTTCGTACAACTTTAAACCTTGAATCTAACGCAATTATTTCATTTTGTAGCTGTTCTACAGTTGTCCTGAATAAGTATTTATTTATAAATTAATATTTTATGCTATTTATTGACTATATTCATACTTAATTTAATCTGAATAATCAATCTTACTTTGTAGCTTCTTCTAATACAGACATCTCATTTGGAAACTTGAGTAAGTCTTTTCGGTTTTTTTCAGCTTGCTTTAAGAACAAAAGTAAATAAATGATTAAAATATTCCAAATTTTAACACAATTAATATTTAGCGCAATAAATTATTTGCTAGTTTTATAACATAATGAAACAGTTTTATATGTCTTTACTTACTAAAGCGACATAATGTATGAGGTTCATTCCCGGTTTGTTGGCTCTTATGTCTGTAAGTTTTTGCAATGAACTCAACTTAACTCCTGCAGCCTTTCCAGCATATCCTCCCTGATAAAATAAAATCTTTTAAATATTATAATAATATTATTTGTTTATCTATTTAAAGTAAAGTTATTTTTTATTTTTATTTTTATTCGTAGATTTATAGAGTTGTTAAGGTGATGATATTTGGCACGCATTTTAAACGGATTAACATTGATTACTTGTAGCTCTATGTAATGGGTGTGAGATAAGCCTAGTATTTGAGTCACAACCCCACTTTTTATCAACAGGACAAACTGCATAATATTTGACCCAAAAATTACTTAAAGGATGAAAGGATAAATTAATAATAAAAAGTATTATATTAAGAAATTACTTACAAAATTCAAAAAATTTCCAGCACATAAGACCATGTATAAGACTTCTTGGAAGCGTTTATTCGTCATCAAATCTAAAATTATAAATAAGTTTTATATAAAATACCAAAATTACAAACTCATTAAAATTTTAGTTTGTGTGAAGTATATACTAAATTGTACATTATAATGAAGAAATTCTATACATTAATAATATAAATATTTTTAAACATCTAATTCAAAAATTTGGTAATAAACTTAAATTTTTCATTTACTTAACTCAACAAATAGTTTTGTTGCAACAAAACGATGTTTTTTCAACGAATTTAAACATTTTTTACGTTAACGTTAAGAAACGTATAATTAAGCGGACATGGACTTTTTAGATATATACTCTAACAATATTAAAGTAACTATTATCATTTTTAATAAAAAAAGAAAAAATTTTATACCTTATTTAATTCGAGTTTATTAATATTATACATTGAAGAATTTATAAGTTAAATATAATATATATATACATAATTCATTTTAAATCAACAATATTTTTACCTTCTCCGGCAACAATCATTGAATTTATACTTGGTTCGAGGTAACTCATATTTGAAGCGAATTCTTCTTTTAATAACATACTTTCAATCCGTAATTTGTAACTAAATATCATTAAGGTTATTAAACACTAGTAAATAGTGTGAAAATTTAACTGAGGTTAATTCTTACTTGGAAATGTCAATAAGTTGCAGTAGGAATTTTTCAGCGTTACCTAATTTAGTCTTGTCTCCATCAAATGCTCTGAGCATCTCTAACTCATCTAATTCTGGCAGAATTTTTAATAAACCACGAAGTTTTTCTGCTCCTATATCGTCATGTTCACCATCTCGAATTAATTGTACAATATCTTCATTCGAACTAAAATCATAAAATACAATAAAAAATGTAATTTTTAAATAACATAAATTTTCAAAAATCAAATTAATACCTTCGGAATTGCTTTAAGAATATATTAACATTCAGACTTCTTTTTCCATCCAATAATACTATCTAAAAATATTTATATATTATATCATTATATGTAATGTTATAATTGGTTTCAAAATAAAAATTATTATTATTATAGAGGGTGTCCCAGAATGTTCTGACAAATCTACATATTTTTCTTGCGGTAAATTTTCAGAATATCGTGGTACATTTTATGTACTATTATTTATTTAAATTTTAAATAAAAATTATATATACTACCTCAGTCGGTTCTTTTCGTTTTTTATCACAATCGCCATTATCTTGTCCGGTCCTGAAATTCAAATAGCCACTTTGGTTTGACGGAGCAACTGGAGTTTGTTGACAAAACAAACCTTCCATTTCTGACCAATCAAGATCAGGCATAGGTGAATTTTGATGGCTTCTAGCTACAAGTGACCAAATATTATGACGTCCAACAACCTATTATCGTATTCATTTTAAAAGCTAAGTTTAATTCAATTTTATATAACCATACAATGTATGGACAAAATATTATAACGTCTACCTTATTATCAGGTATTTTATTCCAATTAATAGTTTTCATTTTGGTTTTAGGTGTTGGTGTTTCCTGTTGAGGTAATAGTTTTGCAATTTTAGACTCCGGAGGTGGAGGAGGCGGTGCATCTACGATGTTAGAAGACCCATTATTCCCCATTTCAAGTGACCGTTTAATTGATTGTTGAGATTCAAGTTCACTTGAATTTGTGTGTTGATTTTGGGGGAAGAATGGAGGTGGTGCCGGAGGTGATGGTACGCCCATCAACGGAGGTGGAGGAGGTGGAGGTGGAGGAAGATTTCCAGATTGAAGAGGTGGAGGTGGTGGAATTGGTGGAGTAGATGAAGTGACAGATAATGGTGATGTCACATTAGATTGTCCTAACGATTGCTTACGGCCACAACAGCATACTCGCAAACCAACATCCCTAGGTTGACTTTGACCTAAAACACTAGGAGTGCGCAATAACCGAGAGGCGTCTTGTCTATTTTCCAGCAATGTCGAGCGATGTACTAATGTCTCCGCCGTATCCCAAATTATATCACTGACAGCTTCTCGAGGATCAATTCTTAATAGATGTTGTAAAATACTCAAAAATGGTATTTCTTGTGGCGTATCTGCTATCTAAAAAACAAAAAATATAATACAGTGACTTATAACATTCATATATGTTATAGAAGATAAAATTATAGATGATGATTTTTGCGAAGAATTTATGAAATATAAGTATAGTATAGTATAGTATAAATTTTTGCTGTATTGTCAAACTTCAAATTCCAAAACTCTCAATTGATTAAAATTTCAATTATAGTCTTTTGTTTTGTTTCAATTTTTTTTACAAAAATGATTAAAACACTATTTTTTAATAGATAAACTTATTATATTTTTAGCGCTTTTAAAAATTCAAACATTAAATGGTACTGAAAAAATTTCAAAAACTAAATTGAATACAAGTGAATTGTAATATACTTTATAGTAATTTTGTTTTTCTAAAGACCTTAACCTTACTATAATTTTTAAAATACTAACAAAGATTTTAAATTAAAAAAAAATTATAATCAATATTCAATATTTTTACATTCATCATAATTACAGAATAGAAATATTAATATAGATTAAATCATTAATAGTTTTTATTTAAATTAGTTATATTTTAAGATATTTTTCATCATCAAATAAAATTGTATTTATTTTAATTAGTGTTACAACTATTGTAATAATTACCTGTCTTAAAATGGCATAAAATAAATCCACGTGAGAATTGATGTCAACACCACGAAAAGGTACATCAAGAATTTGCGATTCGTCGTTTTCTCGTTGTTCATCAAATACGTCAAGTTGTACTCCTAGATCTGCGTTATGTACAGCTTCTTTCCTTATAAAAATCAAAACGCACACACAAAAGTGAATTAATTTACTTTTTTTATATCACAAATAAAATCAGTCAATGAAAGTAAAATCAAAATTCATTCGTAGAGTCTAGTAAAGACATCGACCTTGTTGTTAGGCTGTGGACGACTGGTGTTGTTGAAAATAGTGATCGTTATTATTCGGCGACTACGGAAGTTGATTTTTTTCTCACCGTTGACTACGACTTCATCGGGATACTATTCTCGTATATTTAATTCTGGACTCCAGCACAACTCTAAATAGTGCCAGTCGTAATGCAACAGTAGTAGCTTGCTCGTTTATACTCTTATATACTACTACTATTATTATTATTATTATTATACAAGTTATTTGGCTTGCGGCCCACGCAATGAATATTATATAGAGAAGATTCTTTTTCAAAATCATAAAAAGATAATGAACATCTTTTAGAAATATACTTTAATATACTAGTTAACACTGTAAAACTATAACTAAAAAAAAATATTTTATTCTTTTGACAATAATAATCTAAAGATAACAGCCACTTCTCAACAATCAGTGCTACATAACCCAACCTATAGGTGCAGCAGCTGTCTTGTATGTTTACAAGAGATTATACAAATATATTAAACTATAGGATAAATTTAAAAAAAAGGGTCGATGAATGGATGAAGATTATTATTAAAATCGATTATTATGTTGTGGCAATCTTGCGTGAAGGGTTTAGAACGACAACAAACGCCGTTCTGGTATTATTATTGCAAGCTGTATAGTAGGAAGCAGTTTGTCTATAAATAATTTATACAGAACCTATGCGGCCAACCGAAACGTCTTTTTTTGGACACCAGAATGTAAAAACGGCAGAATATTTCAATCAAGTAATTGTATTAAAATTTTGTATTCTAATAGAAATTCATCAGAAAAAACATTAGCATCATTTCTGTTACGATATTTTTACCATGTACGCGCTTTTAAAAAAAGTCTTCTCCGTCAAGCTACTATTGATAAAATGCCTAATATAACAAGGTNTCGTTTTCTCGTTGTTCATCAAATACGTCAAGTTGTACTCCTAGATCTGCGTTATGTACAGCTTCTTTCCTTATAAAAATCAAAACGCACACACACAAAAGTGAATTAATTTACTTTTTTTATATCACAAATAAAATCAGTCAATGAAAGTAAAATCAAAATTTATTCGTAGAGTCTAGTAAAGACATCGACCTTGTTGTTAGGCTGTGGNATGTATAATTTATATTAGTAACAAACACCAAATAGTCATTTTATTTGTCTAAATGTAAAAATAAATTTAAGACAAATTTATGTTATAGTGTATACTATGTGTGTTTAAGAATGTTTATTTTTATGCACAGTGAATACCAAAAAAAAAAAAAAATGGTACTGTCAATGGCTTAGATGACTAATTGGTCCATGTTACACAGAATGTTACTATAAAGACGCTTGTCATTCAAGTTATGTCATTAAAAACATTGTTTTTTAACAAACGGTAATTCAACAAGAATAACGTGTAACAGAATATTGTGAAAACCAAGGAATATATGGTTACTTATAAGTTATTACAAGCTCTATAATATGTAAAACGAATAGGTTGAACGACCTAAACGTTTATTTTTTATAACTAATTTACATAATCTGTATATATACCTTAGTTCGGTCAGTATCGGCAGCAGTTTAAGACCTGAAAAATAAAAATAATGCAATTATTAAACAATTTATTACTTAATAGACAATAAGTTGGTATTTAACATGAAAAAAAATGTTTATAAAATTTAAAATTCATAGAGCCAATAAAAATCAAGTATAATGTTATTGTATTAATTTTTTCAACTAGCAAATGTTGCACAATATACAAAAAACTTTTAAAGTGAAAACAATTTATACAGAATATGAAAACGCAATGAATCATGAACGATTTTTAGTGAAACGAGTTGATATTAGTAATAGATTTTATAATTATAAATTACAACCGAAATAATTCTTCATAACATTTTGCTAAATACTAATCAAAAAGTTCATAATAATTTTCTAAGTAAAATCTTTTCCTCACCGATGAATTCGTTACGAATCCTTATTCTATTTCGAAGTTGCGGGGTTGATATAATGATACAATTAATAAAGGCCACTATAGCGGTTTGATAGTCTGTCGTCTCTTTGCCTTTGGCCAGCGCCCATTGTAATTCGCGAACAACAAATTGTAACTTGTACCTTTCATTTTTCTGCTCCTATAACGATAACAATAATAATAACACAGTTTCAAATGCAACAGTACAATTGCAAGTTCTTTATTATTTGTAATGTAAAATATTTCTTGTGCAAAACCAGTGGATATGCAGTTAACGATATATGTTATGTATATCGATATATATATATATACACATTTAGACCATTAGATATGTTATTCCAAGAGTTTTTACTCATATTTATTGTTTTAAAGCCTACAATGGATAATTGGTTGTAAGTATATGTATTTGTATTGCCTAGATAATATCAGTTAAGATGCATTTTTATTATTGTTCTTTTTAATGAAAGGTTAATATAACCCTATGAAGTAACAGACATCTATTTATTTGTTTAATTGATTATAATTCGCGTAGTAGGTAAAATTTTATTATTACTGCTAATCAACCACCAAGAATAATTTTCTAATTATGTATTAAAAAATGGTGGGTAGCTTTTCAAATATGAAATAGATACACATTTAAAAACATTTTGAAGTTATAAAATAAAAAATGGGTATATAGATTTAAATTAGTATAAAATTGTCTTTGTAATTTATTCTTGAATAATCCAAATATTAAAAAAGACTACTTACATAGTATGATGCAAATTAATAAAGTGATAAAATAAAAATGTTTATTAAATTATTCTGTTTCTTTTAAGATTATATTCATCTTGAATACTAACAAACAGAAGTCATTAATAAAGCACTTTAGGTAGGTAATAATGGTAACATCAATTATGGTATACTTGCCTTAAAGTGCTGAAGGGTATCAAGTGCTCTGGCATGACCTTCTATATTGTACACACATAGTGCAGAGAGTAATTCCAATACTTGCTTTTTTACAGTGACATTATTGGTGTCTAAAGCTGAAACATGATTATAAATTGCAAACATTAATTAAATTACACAAAAGATATTAGCAGTAATAATATCATTTATGACTCACAAAAGTATACATCTATCAACGAATAGACATAAGTGTTAGTACAGATCCATAAATACAATTGATTATTACAACTACTAAACAATATTTGTCATATCCCTAACCACTTTTTAATATTATGAGTGTATGTAGTGATTAATTATTGTATAATTACATTATTATTATACTACATAACTATAAATAATTAATTTTTCAAATAAAATTCACAATATGAATTATATTCCTAGTAATATACAGTTAGACATGCCAAATCAATTGATTGTTTGTAATAATCAACTCTTTGCTTGTATACAATTATACGTTTAATGGCGACGTCATAAAACACGTTGATTTTTATAATTGTTCGCCTTAATTGGACAAGTCATAAAAAGAACGATTTTTTGGACCAACACTAGTTGAATGTATAGTATATCGTTTATATAGTTTCTGTGATACCATATATTAATTTACAACGGCATTGATACAACGATAATATACATTTGCTTCGGTAAAAAATGTAATAAAACTAACTGAACATTAATGTAATATCTTTTGAAATTTCCTATAGAATGACATAGTTGTTGATACGGAAGCTATGTCGTCAAAATTAATGCGATGTTTTGACAGAATTAAATTTGTGAACATTTATTTTTGACAGAAATACTTGAGATGCGGTGAGATTAATACACTTTGATATATTTAATAGACTTTAATATTCGATCCAACATGAATAGACGATAAGCAATGGATGGATGTAATTTAAAATTATACATGAAGATCAAAATTTAAAAAGCCATGGTTTTAAAAATGTTTTAATTTAAATATTAAATATTAAAAATAATTGATTTTAGTTATCGACAATTAGAATTTTTATGTAGCTAAAAATGTTACAAATTTTATACAAATAATTGTTTTATTATTTTAATTTATATATATACATTCCATTGTACATGTATACTTTCACGAGCTATTCAAGAAGTCTTTTAAGTTAAATTAACTTTAACGCACTGTCAGATGCTATACAGAAAATATCTCTACATCAGTACAAATTAACACTACATAATACATTATAAAAAATAAACCTGCAAGTTACACCCACAATTATACATACACTAATTAACAGATATTTAAATAGCTGCCTAGGCGTATTTTTTCTACGTATCCAATGTACTTTATTGCTTGATAGCGTTGCCAAATATTACTATTGTAATGCACTATCCCCTACCTACGCTTTATGAATTCATTTTTAAAACAATACCCACAATTATAATGAAAAAAAAAGTTTAGTTAATGTTAATAGCACTACAAACCATTCGATGGGTAATCATCAACTAATTTAGCAGGTCACACCAAAAATAAAAATCTACAAAATTTTATAAGCTTTAAAGTAAAATTTAAATAAAAAAAGACTAGGTTGGTAAAAATAACTTTTAAATATTAGCCATTGTTTTGCTATAATTAATATATTGCATGATACAAAAAAAATTAAAAACTAAGAATTACAGATAATTATTAATTAATTTTGTATATAATTTAAATATATATATATATCTTTTTATAGCGATAAATTTTTAGAAAGAATTACTAGATTATTCTAAAAGTAATATAATCCTCTACTTCCTAAATTCTATTTTGATTACAAGTTCTATGATTTATAATGATAACACATAAATAAATACTAATTCTAGTAATTTTAATTTAGTATGAAATATTGATATTCAATAATTTTATATTGTAATACTTACGGAAAATTATAAAAATTATAGAGTAGTTATAAATTTTGTTACCTCTATGCAACGTTTACCAAAACTATAAGTATAGATTTATCTAATAAAAAACCCAGCACAGTGGTGTCGCGGCACAGTGGGGACGTAGAATAGTAGGGACAAGTATAGATGATATCTAACAGTGATTAAAATCACTATCATAAAAAACGCTTCGATGCAAATCATTAGATAGTGTTTAATTTTAAAAAATTGATGGTTTACTCCAANATAGATGATATCTAACAGTGATTAAAATCACTATCATAAAATACGCTTCGATGCAAATCATTAGATAGTGATTAATTTAAAAAAATTGATGGTTTATTCCAAAAGCTATATGATCCCCTATTTCCTTATTTATATCCTGATTACAAGTTTTATGATTTATAAGTGTAATATATTTATTCACATATTACACTTATAAAAAAAGTATGTCGAATGAAAGAAATATTAAAATATTATTTCACATAAAAAAATTGTATTTATCCACACATTTTTCAAAAAGTTATAACATTTTAAAGTTTAAAATGTAAAATATAAAATCGATAATTTTAACACAGAAATAGCATACGGTGGCCATTTTCACCGTGAAGACTAAATAAAAATTTTTTTTCCTTAATAAAGTATATTATATAGGATTAATTTAAGGTATATAAAAAGTGTCAGTATTTCCGGTACACTTTCAAAAGTTAAATTTTTGTGATAAAGTTGTCATTTTGAACCCCTCCCCTGTTGGCGGATATAGGGTCAGATTTATAAAAAAAAAATTACCAAATGATAGGTAAAGACATCGTGCATCTATAAAAAAAATTATATTGATGTGGTCATTTTTGAAAAAATTATGGTAGTTTTCAGTAAAAATAATTGACAAAATGTTGTAAATTAGCGATTTTTAAATTTGTAATTTTTTTTGGAGATTTCCCCATTTACAGGGAACGAGGGAAATTTTTACAATTTTTGAGGGTAATATTTTCGACTAGATACAATTTGTGATTTTTTGACGTATCGTTGAAAGAAATTCGTTCGGTGAGAGCTGAGAAAAAGTGGTTACAGACACATCCTAGTAAAACTAATACCTTCCCAGCATCGCATTGAAGCTAAAAGGAAAGAAAGTTCTATTAATTGACCTCATTATTTAATTATAATTTTAGTTATGAAATTTTAATTTATAATAAACATATTTGTAGTTGGAACATATTTTTTTGTATAAGGCAGCACCCTTCTTTTTAATATATATATATATTAGATGTACCAAAGCAGAAATTATGGTTAAGTACAAGTATTGACTACAAATGAAGTATTTTATCAGTACTGGCAACTGACTATTGGCTAATTTGTATTAGTATAGTACGTATTGTTTAAGTACTGATTTTGTATTTACAGTAAGTACTTGGCTGCCATTGTTGGCACAGTACTGCGCTTATTGTTAATTTCTTATTGGAACAATTAAACTTGCAAAAATTCTACCTGTAAATATTTAAAATTAACATTTAAATCGTATTTTTTATGTAAAAGAGGGTTAACCAACCTGAAGAGGGATGATAAGTACCCTCTTGTACTTATCTCTCATACAAATTTTTATACTATTTTATCTATAGTATAAACATAAATAATTTTTTAAATATTTATAACTACACGAAAAACAATTATCATTTTACAAAAATAACATTTTTTGTACAACTTCAAGTGCATTTAGATGTAGAAGATAAGGAGTCACAAAAACATTTTTTAACTTATAGTACGTATCATAAACTTTAATTTAACATATATTTAAAGGACGCAATATTTCCGTAACATTTTCAAAAGTTAATACCGTGTTTAGGAACGTGATAGTTGAAATAGTTATAGTTTTTATAAGTTTATTTCAAGATTAACTCCCCTACATAAGGGGAATTTGTAAATAATTAGAACGAAAAGAACATGTATAAAATACTAAAATATTTCATTTATACATACATTTTACTAACAATATAAAGTTGAGAAAATAGTATTGACAATTTTTATGAAAAAATGGCATGTTTTTTAAATACGGCTGCCATTTACATATAGAAGATAAGGTCAAAGTATTTTATTAATTTATATCAAATTAAAAAGAACTGAGACTTTTCATGTACCGGCAAAAAAAATGCACATCATAGTAAAATCAATGCTTTCTCAATTACGCTAGAAGCTAAAATTAACACACCATAGAATATTTTATTAAAAAAATTTATCTAAATTAATTTAATTTTAATCAACTTTAAACTTTCTAGTAAATAGTTATTCTATAAAGTTTTTATGTAGTGCATCGATATAATAAATTTTCATACAATAAATAGTGAAATATATGTAGTTCATCACTTTACAGTAACAAACAAAAAATATTAATTACATCTGTCACTCATAACTTCTATGACAACTAAATATGACATATTATGAGTTAACTTTCTAAACATAGTAAACCAATGTCATTTTATGTCTATTAAATCTGAATGGAATATGCCAAATTAAGAAATAAGTCGAATAAAGAAAATACATTGAGTTTATAATTAAGTAGCAAATACATTTGTTCTAATCATGATGATCGTCTGGAGCCAAATGAAGGTCAAATAACCTTATATGTTTACTTAATTTGCAGTTGGTATTTTAAACCGTAAAATAAAATATTTGTATTTTCTAGCATATTCATTTAACCAAAAAAAATCTCAAAAAATTGTATATTAAAATACAATACAAGGGGAGTACATTGATTTTCCTAAATAGTAATAAATCTAATTGAAATAGTATAGAAAGTTAAACTTATTTACATTTTTTTCTTTATTTGAAGCCGAAAAAAATTAATTTGAAGTTTCAACTAACTTTATTTGCCATTTTTAACTACCGAAGAAATGTGACATACGGTTTCCGTTCAGTAACACTTGCGACTTTCATGCTTGAGGTACAAAGTTAGACGAGACCCAAATGGCAATGAATTTTTTTGCATTTTTTTCTTAATTCTTTTTAAATTGGAAAAAAATATTCAACTCATTTGATATTTTATTTAGATTCAAAAACTTCAATGATTATCAAGTAACCCATCACTGTAGTCTCTCTTCGTGAGAAGTAATTTCTTATTCATATTAAAATTATTTTTTTGTGTTTCTTTTTTTTGTGGCTGCCATTTATTTTTTTAGCTTTCACTTGACCAATTTTTTAACGA